TCCTATGGCAGAGTCCCAAAAGAACAAAATGGCCTCTGTGTGTGTGTGTGTGTGTGTGTGTGTGTGTGTGTGTGTCGGGGGGGGTCTGCTGTTTTTTTTTCTCTAGTGTTTTTATGAGGAACAAATTTCACACACCAAAGAAGAGTTTTTATTCTTACAACTAATCACTTTCAAAAGGCACCACAGCTCTATACTGTTACACTGCAGATCATGTGTCAACAGAAACTATGAAAGGGACACAGATATGCAGGCCATGGCTGGAGGAATAATGAGAGGTATAAACTGAAGGAGAATGAGGTAAACTCAGAGGACAGAACCTTCTGAAGTAGGTCACAAAACTCTAATTGCCTAACTCTTCATCTCAGCAGCTGGTCATAAAGAAGCTACAACATTCATTCTCCTTGTCTTCCCTAGTCCTCTGACATGTGACAGGTGTCCTGCCTTCTACTTAGAGGTAAGCAATGTTATGAAAAGAAGGCAAGAAGTATCTAAACAAACATCTTGCTAGATAATTTCTCATCCCTCCAATTAATTACAGTTGGATCACATCCTTTCAACTTCAATTTGGACTTCTATGTAACTGTCCAAAAAAAAGCCAGTTCTCCCCTGTTTTTTTTTTTCCAGAGTGTTCCCTCCTGTAGCAGGTAATACATTTATTAACTTTATAGATCCTTTTTTAGCCTGTCTTTTTATAGGCATATTAAGTCATGCATTGTACAATGGGAGAGAAAAGAGATTTTTTTCTTCCCTACACTGTTTTATTCTGAGTCAGAAATAAACAATTTAGATAGGAAAGGAGAAACAAAAGTGACATTCTTGTTTAGAAAGCTGTTGGCTTCCAGAAGCTAGAAGTAGGACAACTACATTTACAAGAGAACATTTCCTTTAAAATTTTTGAGACAATGTCTTATGATATAGCTCAGGTTGGACTGGAACTAATGGTAATACTCCTGCTACAGTCCTAAAACCACTGGGATTTCAAGCTTGGATCACCACACTGGTATCTTGAGGTCTATCTATTTTTCTAGCTTTAAACAAAACAAACAATTTCTTTAGAATATATGGATCATAACTTCTAAAATTGACCATACGTTTTTTAAATGCAAGATCTAAAACAATAATTTAATGCTACTTAAATTCTTGATAATATTTATATGGAGAATTCTTTAGAATTAATAGTAAGGAAATCTTACTATTTCATAACAATATTATTCTAGATGGGGAAAGTTAAAGACGGGATTTGGATTCCCTAATTTCCAATGACTTTACCAACAATTACTGAGTGTCTAGAGTATGCTAGGTGGTAGATATTTGATAGGTACATATAATCTCTGGTACAGGAACAGTATATAGAAAGATTATAAATACCAGGCTGCCAGCATATTAAGGTTGAGCTACCAATTGTGTACATTGCTGTAGTCAATGGACTGACAATGTCTAGATATAATAAGCATTGACTTAATGTTGTGAAAGAGTAACGGTGAGCACGAGGTAGTTGGACATAGCCTGACTTGCTGATCTACTGAAGATTCAACTCACATGTTGAGCAGCCATCCTTATAGTGCTGTTACTATTTACAGAGGCCATAGACATGGGAGTGCTGTCCCTGTCCATTTTTTGAACTCCAAGTTCGTACAGAAAGATTATATTTAGTTAGGTAAAGTACTGCCATATTTGCGCTGTAGTTACTTAAAGGGTCAGTGATCTCAAACAAAACTATTGGCAGATGACAGAACCATGCAGAGTCCTATATCACTCATGGGAACATGGTATTCATTGTAAAACAGAATACAGAGGCCAGACAGATGGCTCAGTAATTATGAGAATTGGATATTCTTCCAAAGGACCTGAGTTAGGTTCTAATGTCCTGTGTCAGCCATGTTTTTCATCTCTTTGATCACTGGACAATAAAGTACCAGAAATACTGAAAATACAGCAAACATGTGACCTTTTTGCATTTTGCTTTTGTCTTTTTAGAAGAGCGAACTTCTCCCTAAACACTGCTGCAGAGTTCTGAAAAAGACTAATCTGAGCAATAATTTCGTTAGTATAATTTATTAATTCAAAATTTTTAGCACAATAATATCCTCCTTTTCTGTAATAAATTACCATATTTTCTTGATAAGAACTGCAAGGTGAGAGTCCTATACATCTTACTACATTTCCAGTTGTTCATCTGTAACATACAGATATAGAAAGTTGTGGATTTCAGAGAAATAAAATAGAGTCCAGGCCAAGCTCATGAGGTTTTGAAATTTGTTCCTTCCTTCCTTTTTTCCTTCCTTCCTTCCTTCCTTCCTTCCTTCCTTCCTTCCTTCCCTCCCTCCC